ATTGGACTGGAACGTAAACCAAAAACCCTCGTATTCATAGACAGACACGCTAACATACTTTAACATTACTAATCAGTCAAACGTGAATATATTTAAAGAGATAGAATAATCGCATGACGAGTATTCCGAAACTGTTACCCTCTCCGATTTTATGAAGTTCAATTTAGCAAGCAAATCTTAAGGAATAATATTGAAGGAGTAATAGATAAGGAATAATATTGAAGGAGTAATAGATAAGGAATAATATTGAAGGAGTAATAGATAAGGAATAATATTGAAGGAGTAATACAATGTATGTGACTTTGACCAAAAGCGCTTTCGTAATTCAAAATGATATGTGCGTCTTGTTACTTTACCAATTAAAAGTGTCCATTCCCGCTACTTAGCTATATTAAGAAGTGTAATAATTATATTTTATGAAGACTTCTCAAAGAAACGTAAAACACACCTTTCATACAAACGGGTCACGAACACGCACTGTAGTAGCACCTGATAAAATTGGAATGGCTTATTTCGATACAACGAAAACCACGCCCAAATGCACCCTTTGGACTAATTTGTTGCAGATGAAATATGTGATTTAATATTTGATCTTATTGATATGCAACGGTATATTTCAACATAAGGAGGTTCTATGTGATTCTAGATAATATTTTCTATTAATATACTTCGATCACGTATAAGACATGGAAAGAATTTATATTTGCTTCAACGAAAACGTTTTATCTATATAATGGAGTACACAGAATCGTAAGATTGAATATACGAATAACCTAAAATCGCTAACCATTAGAAATATATGTAATTTCCTATTCAAAGTTTAATACAAAAAAAAAAACTTCAGCAAATTATTATTTATTGTTTGTAGCTTCGTTACTTAAAAGTGATTTTTATTAAGCTTTGTAAAGCTTTTATAGTCTTATATCCTCTAGCTGTAGGCTTAAAGACTTATAATTCTAAAATCCGGAGTCCATTTGTTTATTTACTTGTTTGTAATTAAGCACAAAGCTACACAATGGGCGATCTGTACTCTGACCCCCAAGGATATCGAAACCCGGATTCTAGGTGTCCGACTCCCTACGGTTGACATATAATACATAACTCAATGTGTCTTTTGTGATTATCAAGAAATAACACTAATTCCTTTCATTTATTTCATATTAGCATTAGAAACTTAAAGATTCTAAACAGATAAATCAGTACATAATTTTACCATAATTAGTTCTGGTGATTTTTTCCCTACATCTGTTAATATATCTTTCGCCAAAAAAAGAAAAAAAAAAGGACAAGAAGATCATCAACTTTATTCTTTCACATCTTTGAGAGCATTACAGATGGTTACGTTTGAAACATTGAATAAAAAAGGTATTGACATAAAAATGAAATATTTCAAGCTTGGAACAATCACATTAGAAAGAGCGTGAGCTTTAGAACTGATCAGAGTATTGTAAGCAGGCATTATAAGTCCATTTTCTTCACAAAAAGTATAAAAAAATAAAAGAGTTATTGCCTTATGATGAAGAAACTCCATCTAAAAGGATAGATCCAGTTGTGATCTAAACAAGCTCTAGAAATTTATACCGTCATTATTGAAAAATAACTCTAGGGATCTAAGAGCAGTAGTGATTAAAACGTAACCTAATGGTCTAGTTTCAGTTCCAGTCGGTTCTCCGTATGGTGGAGCTAGCTGCAGTAAAAAAAAATCTAAGCCTTCCTTCTTGTGTTAAAACCTTATTCAATAACTAGAATGTTTAGCAGTGTATGTTTACATAACATGAAAAAAATTAAACATTTATTAACAGAAATGACAAACAAATTTGGAGACATTTGAAGAAATTATTTTGTTTTACTTCATCACTTAATATAAGATACACGAATGTAGAGTGTTTTTAGAGAAGCACCCCAGTAGCATAGATGTCTATATACTGAGAATCACTTAAATGGAAACTATTTCGACTAACTGTGACGTAGACTTATGTGATGACCACTACATGGTTGTTAATTGATTAAAATCTCAATTTAGACCTAAACTAACAAATACGCATATTTCGTGATAATATATTGAACAGTCTGATATCAACCAACAAAAATCGATTAACGACATGCAATAGATGTCGAATAACGGCTTAGGAACAATCATGAATACAACAAATTATCACTATTTAGATTGATTTAGATTTTGAGTGTTGCTTTGAATGTTGTCATATTTAAGATAAATGTAAAAATCTATAGACAATAAAATATGTTGAATGATTTTTACAGTCATATTGTTACAAGATTTGAGAATTATATATAACTTAACGTTAATGAAAATTAATCAATGCCTGAATATGGGGTTATTTCTTATAAAATTAAGATATTTACTGTAAATTATCCATAAAAAAATGTAAACAAATAATAAATTTATGCACGATTACAATAACGATGTAATATGAACTGGTGCGAGAAATAGAAGTACCTTGTTCTTTAGACTAAATACCAGTTAAATGCGAAAAAAAATAATCAACAAATATGTTAAACAAGTCCAAGGACAGTGTTAAAATCATCAATAATTTCTTATTTGATACTGACGTACCGAATTTTAGGTAATGATAACGACGCCGTTTTCTTTCGCTACTAATAGTAGATTAAACAAACAAATCTTTCTTACTGTGAAAGTTATAACTTGTAATAAAATATATTTTATTAAACTTGAGTTTAGTAAAAGAGTAGATACGATGTCCTAGTCAGAAAGAAGGATTTAATAGATGTGATGTCATAGTCAGAAAGAGGGAGAGTAGATATGATGTCCTAGTCAGAAAGAAGGATTTAATAGATGCGATGTCCAATTCAGAAAGCGGTAGAATAGATTTAAAGTCAAGTTCATATTAATGATTAAATTATCTACTGAATAAAGCGATTATAGTAACTTAAATGATTTGGTGTTTGCAAAAGTAATTAGGATCTACTATTTAGTTTCGTTTTGAGCTTTTTGACTAGAACATCACATCTATTAAATCCTTCTTTCTGACTAGGACATCGTATCTACTCTCCCTCTTTCTGACTAGGACATCATATCTACTATCCCTCTTTCTGACTATGACATCACATCTATTATCCCATTTCTGACTATGACATCACTTCTATTATCCCATTTCTGATCTTGACATCACATCTACTCTCCCTTTTTCTGACTAGGACATCACATCTATTAAATCCTTCTTTCTGACTATGACATCACATCTATTATCCCATTTCTGAACATGACATCACATCTATTATCCCATTTCTGATCTTGACATCACTTCTATTAACCTCCTTTCTAAACTTGATACCATATCTATTCGCTATTTTTTGAAATAGTTGAAAGCCTGAATTTGTTGAAATAAACAACACGAATATTTCACTTGTCATCCGTAATTTTCAGCAACTTAAAGAAAATCTTCATTTTAAAAAAGTTCTGTACTAGACAGATACTATGTTTTTATTCTTTGTTCATTCATGAACAATGTTTTTAGTTTGTTGGAAAGTAATTCTGAAAGTACAAATTTACAAGATACACGAATATTTTTCTGAGTTATTGTTAACCTGATATAATAACTTAATAAAACCCACTATCTTACTCATTTTTGACACGCATTAATCATAAGTGTATGATAAACTCCACCAATATACAATCACAAATATTCCAGATTTAATGATAATAAAGAGTATAGATATTAGGTATCTGGAAAATTCGTGGATTACAACATGGTGCCTTATTTAGAATGATGACTACAGACCTTCGACAGTTAGACAAATATAAGCTAATGGTCTTGATATTGCTGCAGGCGGTCTAGTTAGGCTAAAGCCTCAGTAACAAATTACGATGTCATTAAAATTCAAGACGTATATATATCTTTCATACAATGATCAGTTACATAAGTCATAACCTGAATAGGAATGGTTTATGTTATTATGATATCACTATTTTTTAAAAATTATATCTCTAACATTAACCGTAGTGATAAATGGGCAGCACAAGAGGGCTTGACCAGTAAAGAAGCTTTTCACATATGATTAATCTATAAACATTTACGTCACGTCTAGTCAGTATATACGCATTATTTGGCGTTTGACTGAAATTAAGAAGTAAAACTACTAATATATTAGCACCTACTTAATTTTCCTATGTTGCTGAACAGAAAACGAGGATTAAATTACGATTGCAACAAAGAGTCTATGCCTCTGCTTCATAATTACTGAATATTTTGATTAATATTATAAATATATCTTCTCAGTACTAAACAGTCTTGTATCAGTATTTGTTGCTGGGAGATCGTACATATATTGAGTCATTAGCATTTGGCTAAATCATTGTCTAAGTGGATTTATTTATTCCAAAATTTCCTTTACAATTACTATATGTATAAGATATCGAGCCTTTTTACGCCCCAAGTTGCACGGTAAACAAAGTGATGTGTGTAACTGTACTTATGAGTGTATAATTTCACTGGCTGAGTCATAAAATATGATAATAATCCTTATGCGTTGTGAGCTACGTCAATTGTTTTTTTATACTTTGAGATTTATCAAGAATGTGTTATTTTAAATTTTTCTCGCGAAGAAAATGCGACGACATTGCTATCGTTCTAAATTAATCCCAATCAATGAATTTCCTGTCCGTCAAATCGAGTTTACGTTACACGACGACATTGCTATCGTTCTAAATTAATCCCAATCAATGAATTTCCTGTCCGTCAAATTGAGTTCACGTTACACGACGACATTGGTCTTCTGAACAACACCGATATCAATAACTAGAAGTAGAGCTAGTTAGACCGTATATTTCATTTAAAAAAAAAAACAACAAAAAAAACAGCAACGAACTTTGGAGAAAAAAAAATGTTAGGTTTTTGCAGTAACAATCACAATAGAATGCACGAGGCTCTGAATAACAGTCAAAGTTATCCAAGCCTGTCATCGAAACCCAATGCTGTGGATTCCACCAACGCTCCTTCACTAGAAAACAAACAGTTTTATTTTGTTACGTCGACTTTCTCCGTAATTCGGTCACATCCGTTATCTCAGTCAAGGGAATACTTTCTGTAACAATAACAACAACGAAAAGCTGATTAACGCCATCCTCATATTACCTTGATGACCCTGTGCACTCCCTGCGGCATCTAAAAATGAAATAAAATAAGTACAATATGGTAGAAAACTTGCTTTAAAACTTGATAAATCTCTAAAGTTTCTTCTGTAATATCTTGTGAAATGAGCGTCTTAATTAAAACCTTAGAACTATTGGTTATTTCGCGCAGTACATTGAAAAAAAAATCCGTATAACTGTCACTTTATTTTCCGTTACATTTTCTTTTGTGTTTTTTTTTATTTTATTTTTTTCATTTAAGTTCGAAAAATACATAAACAGTTTGAGTAACTAGAAAATACTACGGTCTGTACTTCTGAATAGACAGACTGTCTGGAAAATATTAAATTTGACCGGTTGTCTTACAAGACGGTCGAAACGTTTTTCACACTTAATCCTTTTCCAGGCAGACTTTCCCTTGAGAAGTTCACAATATGATTCAACATATGTCAATGAACACTATAAAAAAAGTTAAAATATTATTTGAAATAACTATTTTTTTCTATAAATATTTTGATAAGAACTTCAAAAATCAACCATTCTATTTTAATTATTTCATACCTTCAACCTTCATTATTTTTTCCGACGAAACGGTACGAAATGATGGAGCGTCTGCTGAAACTTCACATCTGTATCTTCCGGAGGTTTCTGTTTGTACGTCTTCTATGTAAACAGTTTGCTGGTTTGACCTAGTGAACTGATGATTAATTGAAATAGCTCAGAAAGATGTTTAAACCTAAGAAATGTCGTAAATGCGCATTTTTCATTAATTATTAGTTTCTATGATGTAATTAAACATAATGTTAAAATTATAAGTGTAGTTTATTATACTATATTGAGGTTACTAAAAACAGTGCTACATATTGTTCAGTGGTTCTATAAACTGAATTAGAGCCTTATTTCATTTTGATGAACATTGAGGAGATTTGTATATATATATATATAAATATAAATCTAAGGGGGACGTTTTCTCTTAGATATTTAATAATGTATAAAATTTGCAATATGTTTACATAGGCTTTAGTGTGGTATTAAGAACAACACAACTAAACTTAAACTTCGACTTTAAGGCAACTTAACTTAGCATAATATGCGTCTTAAAATTGCTCTTTAACTTTGTTAACTAACATGTGTCGAAGAGGATTGATTTTATGAAAGCATTAATATCCTTACACAGGTGACGCATGAAGAATCTTTACTTAGTAAGGAAAGTCGTACGTATCTAATCCGAAAATGGCATAATATGGTTTAAATAAGTTTACAAGTAAATAAATAACTACATTTAATTGTTTTCATGCTTTATATAGTCTGGGACGTGTGAATAATAAAAAATGGGAAATACTGTAAATCTTAAACTAATCTTTTTCTTAGTAATCCAAATGTAACCTTTGTTTGCCTTCTACGTCAGGTTATGTAATTACCTATGTTCGCATTCTACGTCAGGTTATGTAGTTACCTATGTTCGTATTCTACGTCAAGTTATGTAATTATCTTTGTTCGCATTCAACGTCAAGTTATATAGTTGCCTTTATTCGCATTCTACGTCAAGTTATGTAATTACCTTTGTTCGCCTTCTACGTCAGGTTATGTAGTTCCCTTTGTTCGCATTCTACGTCAAGTTATGTAATTACCTTTGTTCGCATTCTACGCCAGGTTATGTAATTACCTTTGTTCGCATTCTACGTCAAGTTATGTAATTACCTTTGTTCGCATTCTACGCCAGGTTATGTAATTACCTTTGTTCGCATTCTACGTCAAGTTATGTAATTACCTTTGTTCGCTTTCTACGTCAAGTTATGTAATTACCTTTGTTCACCTTTATCATAGTTATTGTTCGTAATATATAATTTTAGTCACTGTTTAACCTAACTCATTTTAAGCTGTTATAAATATTTTGAAAACATAACCTAACTGCTCTTACTTTTTTTTTGTTCTTCAGAAGTAGTTTCTGTGTCGATTTATACTGAGTCGGCGTTGTCGGAAATGACGTTAAGCGCTTTTAAGACATAAAATGTTTCGCGATATAATTCTTCAAAAAAAGAAAATGTCTCTTATTTTTTACAATAAAAATCGATTTTAACTTCATTCAAGTGTAATATATAACTACTGTAATAATATATTACCAAACTGGAAAGCTAAATCTTTCATCGTTTTCCTGTTTCGGCTGGCATTCAAAATGATGACTTGCAAAATAAAACGTAAAGTGCTGACAGTTAAGAATATCGTAATGTACCTTACAATTGGGGCTGGAGCTTAACAGCTACTATGAAGTACAGAGGCAGACAGTGTGTTATACAGTGCTATACTGATTGTAGCTCTGTTGAAGATTTAGTGCGAAAATAATAACTTACATCAATCTTTACACCATCAAGAGGAAAAAACTGTCGCTGAGGAGTGTCTTTTGGCACATATCGAAAAAACTCTAAGTCATCTTTGTACCACTTCACTGAATAGAGACTGTCTCTTTCCAGGTCGTAGTTACAGGTTAATCGTACCTTCTCACCGAACCTGGCGCTCCTGGGAACATCGAGAGACAAAATACGCAAACCCTCAGTTGCTGAAAGTGAAACGTGAAAGCGTTTTTAATTTTAACGTATACACGTTCTTTTTTTTTTGTCTGTTTGTTTGCTATTATAGATGTGCAACAGACAAACCTTATTGTTTGTAAATAGCTTTTTTTATGGTTCACACACTTGCGAGTTTAAAGTACCTTGACATGTATCTTAGAAGTTTGGGAATTATATTAAAAATATCATTTTTTTTCCACTAATATGTTTAGTCTATAAATATATTTTCAAAGTGGCAGATAATTTCACATTTTCAACAGTTATGAAAGAGAAGATTGATTATTCTAATCCAGTTCTACCCTTGGACTTTATCGCAGAGTGAGATCTGTTGAAGCCATAAGTTACCCTGCAACCATAATTAGATTTATTTATATTTATTTTCTTAAGATCTTAGATGAAAGCGTATACTTTCATATTCTGCGTCGAGGTGTTGGTTCTGACAAAATAGCTACTTAATGACCAAAATACTCGCCCTTTCAGCTGTGTGGGCGTTATAATGTGACGGTCCATCCCTCTATTTGTTGGTAAAAGAGTAACACAAAAGTTAGCGATGGGTGGTGATGACTAGCTGTCATCCCTCTAGTATTTTACTGCTAAATTAGGGAAGGCTAGCGCAGTTAGCCGTCGTGTAGCTTTGCGCGAAATTCAAAACAAACCAAACAAAAGCCACTTAATGAACTTACATATTTTACAAAGAAACCTAATTAAAAAATTTAGTTAGAATAAAGGAGTCAGGCACACAGATTTGTCATAAAAAGAGCTAACTTTTACAGAAGGATATGCCTTTTTTATTTATGTTATTACTTATTCGAGATGCAATAAAAATGTGTTTGTTCTAAATTTCGCGCATAGCTACACGAGGGTTATCTGCGCTAGCCGTTCCTAATTTAGCAGTGTAAGACTAGAGGGAAGGCAGCTAGTAATCACCACCCACCGCCAACGCTTGGGCTACTCTTTTACCAACGAATAGTGGGACTGACCGTCACATTATAACTCCCCACACGGCTGAAAGGGCGATCATGTTAGGTGGGACGGTGATTCAAACCATAGACTCTCATATTGCGAGTCGAGCGCCCTAACCACCTGGCTATGTCGGGCCCCTGAAATAAAAAAAAGGGATTAAGTATTCCCCAATCTTTTCTAGTTACCCAATTTTACTTTATCTCTTTACACTGTTTATCCTTTTAAATAACTACATGTCCAATCCCTTTATTCTAATTTGGCTTGTTTGTACAATAAATTGTTTTTATCAGACATTACTGTTTTTACAAGTAACATCTCTTACAGGTGTTAGGGTTTGTTTGCTTATTTGTTTCGTCAGTTTTGTGTAAAGCTACTCAGGGACCATTCTGCATTAGCCGTCACTAATTTAGTAGTCATGGACTAGGAAATGACAGCTACTTAATGCCAATCACTACCAACTTTTGAGATACTCTAATCGTGGAGTGGGATTGACCGTTACATTATAACAACCCAAAGACTGAAAAGGGCGATCATGTTCGGAGAGTCGAGCGTCTTAACCACCAGGCCCGGTATTAAGAAGATGTAATTATTGCATTTCAGGAAACATAAATTTATTTGCTCAGATATTTTGTACATGGAAACTGGTAGCTTTTGTACATTTATGAATCTTATTGAATCTTCATGAATCTTATGAAACTGTAAATTAAAAATGATAAAAGAAATTGTCTAAGTTTGTTCGTTTTTTGAATTTCGCGCAAAGCTACAAGAGGGCTATCTGCGCTAGCCGTCACTAATTTAGCAGTGTAAGACTAGAGGGGAGGCAGCTAGCTAGTCATCACCACCCACCGCCAACTCTTGGGCTACTCTTTTACCAACGAATAGTGGGATTGACCGTCACATTATAACGCCTCACGGCTGAAAAGGCGAGCATGTTTGGTGTGACGGGGATTCGAACCCGCGAAAATGGTCTAAGAAAACTATTATTTTGAAGTAAGTTTCACTTGCTATCTTAATTAAAACCTGAACACGTTGAGTTCGTCCATTTAAACATTCTGACTCTGATACTGGAAAAGAACAAGAAGATAAATGATAAAAAGCTGCAATATGAACAAGAAAATAAATGATAAAAAGCTGCAATATGAACAAGAAGATAAATGATAAAAAGCTGCAATATCAACAAGAAGATAAATGATAAAAAGCTGCAATATGAACAAGAAGATAAATGATAAAAAGCTGCAATATGAACAAGAAGATAAATGATAAAAAGCTGCAATATCAACAAGAAGATAAATGATAAAAAGCTGCAATATGAACAAGAAGATAAATGATAAAAAGCTGCAATATCAACAAGAAGATAAATGATAAAAAGCTGCAATATTTTCCCACTCTTTGATTGTTTACCTTAATCTATAACAGATATATATGTATTTAATATTCGGACGTTTCGAGATACACATACTTCCTCTTCAGCGATATGTAATATATAAAAAGCTGCAATATTTTCCCACTCTTTGATTGTTTACCTTAATCTATAACAGATATATATATATATTTAATATTCGGACGTTTCGAGATACACATACTTCCTCTTCAGCGATATGTAATATATCAAAGATTCATACAATGTTATCAATAGAAACGTCGAGGTGATATAGAAATATAAGAAGAATGATTTGGCTTTTTGTTAAGCACAAAGCTACACAATGAACGATGTGTGCTCTGCCCATCACGGGTATCGAAACCCTGTTTCTAGCGTTGTAAGTCCGCAAATTTACAGCCGAGCCACTGGGTAGGGCATTAAAGAAATAATGCAGAATATAAGTAACATAATGTATATTTCAAACAGACACTAAAAAAACAAGCAATCAGAATTAAAATATTAATAATTGATATAGCTCAATTACTGTTTAGTTAGGGCGTTCACTGGATATCAACAGAAGTTCTTTTATAATCAGTTCTTCTTTAGATGAGTTTTATACAAATAGTATGGAAAAAACAACAATCAGAATTAAAATATTAATAATTGATATGAGCTCAATTACTGTTTAGTTAGGGCGTTCACTGGATATCAACAGAAGTTCTTTTATAATCAGTTCCTTTAGTTAGGGCGTTCACTGGATATCAACAGAAGTTCTTTAATAATCAGTTCTTCTTTAGATGGGTTTTATACAAATAGTATGGAAATGTAATGTTTGTACTATTCCTCACGTGTTCCCCAGTGGTACAGTGGTATGCCTGCGGACTTACGACGCTAGAAATCGTGTTTCGATACCCGCGGTGAACAGAGCACAGATAGCCTATTGTGTAACTTTTTGCTTCAGTACAAACAAACAAATTTCCTTGTGTAGTTTCCTGGGAGACACATTTATTAGTTGTATTTGTCCAATACACATGTCCCTGTAGTCTCCACAAGTATATTAACCCATGGACGTAGTAGAAAACGGTTGTTTCCTGATGTTTGTGTAAGTTTGCACAAAGTTACTTGAGTGCTATTTGTGATATTCCTAATTTTAAAGTGAGATCCCAGAGGGGAGACAGCTAATCAATACATCCCAGAGGGAAGACAGCTAATCAATATCCCACCACCAATTCGTGGTCTTGATCAATCGAATAGACGGATTTGACCGTCACTCTTATAACACACCCGTAGGTATTTCTTTTGGGGGGGGGGGCGATAGGGAATATGTCTTTGTGATGCAATGTACTGTGAATCCAGAAATTAGTTTTGTAAACATTGTATAACTTAATTTGGGAGTAAAGTTTCTTAATCAGCTTTACGTACAAAGTGACTTCATCGTTGATGTATTACACATTGCTGAAGATGGAATATGTATGTCTCGAATCGTCTGAATATTGAATATGCTATCAATCGTAGCCGTGGTTTTCTTGTTCTCGATTAAGATTCGTTTTCCATATAATGAATCGATACATTTTAATATGATATATTATTTTAAAATTAATTAAAAATAATATTCCACCTGAAGTGAGATCAAATCCCCAGCTGTCAGGGGAAGCTAGCAACACGGATGCAGCATCTTAGACAACTACGCCATTCCCTCATTTTCAATTTCAATGTGACCTAAGGCGCCCTTAAGTGATCATTTTTAACCTAGCGGATGTGGAGAGGAATTGATCATTAAAAAAATATCATGAAAAACTTTAATACACATGTCACACTTGTCAAACCCTAGTTCGGATTAATATCTTTCAACGTATTTTGATTTCGTGTCGATCGTATTTTGTTTTACCCACCATCATGTCCCAAGTTGAACAAAAAAACACGGCCTGGCTAACTAATGAACGATTATTTGCTGTAAAATTCTTATCAATGTTATAAGTGTAGCTGTCAGTTTGGCTGTCAATTTTGATTTGATTCCTTTAAGTCTCACACTTAATATGTTATTGGCAGAACCTATTTTTTCATACCTAAGGTGTTTTTTTGGTTAGATTCCAGTAGAAGGAACAGTTGTGGCAATACCCCAGATTTGCCTAACTGTTCGGTACTGTATATTGAGTCAGGGTAAATATTATATCATCCTTCTATTTTGGCTGGAATCACTACTGTGCCTCTAGATATCCAGCAGATGACATCTCGGCACTTACAAATTTTACTTTATAATTATTTTATGGTTAAATTTGAAAAAGGAAACGAGTGAGTTTCTAAATGGACTAAATTAACTCTAAACAGAACAGATTTGTTTGTAGTTAAGCACAAAGCTACACAATGGGCTAGTTAACTCTAAACAGAACAGATTTGTTTGTAGTTAAGCACAAAGCTACACAATGGGCTAGTTAATTCTAAACAGAACAGATTTGTTTGTAGTTAAGCACAAAGCTACACAATGGGCTAGTTAATTCTAAACAGAACAGACTTGTTTGTTGACTAGCGCAAAGCTACACAATGGGCTAGTTAATTCTTAACAGAACATATTTGTTTGTTGACTAGCGCAAAGCTACACAATAGGCTAGTTAACTCTAAGCAGAACATATTTGTTTGTTGACTAGCTTAGCTACACAATGGGCTACT